TCGGTGATGGCGCAAAGGCACGCTTCTGGCACAACAGCTGGCTGGAGGGCGAGGCCCCTAAATATTTAGCACCACATTTGTTTGAGCTGATTAGAAGGAAAAACAAATCGGTCCAACAGGAACTTCGAAACAACAGTTGGATCCGATCGCTAAGAGGCAGAATCACCACCACCGTCCAAGTTGAGGAGTTTGTCTCCCTTTGGATAAGGCTCCAAAACATCCAGCTGACGCCAGGAGTTCGCGACACCATAGTTTGGAGATGGACTGTTGATGCCTCTTAGGCTCTTACTCCATCCATTCAGCGTATAGGATCCAGTTCAAAGTTCCTATAGCAAATTCCGTAATGACCTCATATGGAAAGCGCATGCGGAGAACAAAGGTAAAGTGTTTGCTTGGGTCCTGGTGCGAGAAAAAATCCTAACGGCGGATAATCTACAGAAGAGGGGCTGGCCTCATCATGATCAATGCGCCCTATGTAATGTACCTTTGGAAACATGCCTTCATCTATCACTCCTTTGCCCTTTCGCCAAGGCGGTGTGGAGTCAGATTCTTTCATGGGAGCACTTTGATGTACAGTTGATCCACCCAACTCAAGACCCACATCATCTGAAGTCATGGTGGGAAGGGGCAGCAGCCAAGATAGTGAAAGAAGAAAAAAGGCGCTTCAACGGAATGGTGATCTACACGTTGTGGAACACATGGAAGGAAAGGAATAGGAGAATTTTTAACAACACCCACGAGTCCGCAATGCAGGTGGCTTTAAGGGTAAAAGAGGATATCGAGCAAAGAAAGAGGGCTTTAGCTTGGGAGGGGGCAATATCACAACACAAATTCTGTAATCTTTTTGGGGGCATGCCCCTTTTTGCTCTGTACATAAACCTCTTTTCCCTATCTTAATTGAAGTGCAGAGCTCCTGCCATTATGTTCAAAAAAAAAAAACTCTTGTTGCTGAGCAGACATCACAATGTTCTTGGCCTACTACTACTTGCCTGAACTGCCGATCGGCTGCACATCTGCACCCTGCGTGAGTGGAGTGTGGTGCCGCAGCAGCCTAGCGGAGAAGCATGCAGTAGTCAAGCAATGTGCCAAGCTGTGCCAGGCCTCCGATGGGAAGATAATAAGTGAAAATTGACTAATTCCTAATTGCTATGACAATTGTGATGTGAAGTAATAATTAGATTAGTGAATGAAAGGAGGCAATGCAACAATATGATGCACCGATTTAGCAAGATGACATCGAAAGTGTGAAACCTAATTAGATAATGATTCGGACCGCCATAGATTTTGTTCTGGATCCGCCACTGAACATATATGTGCTACAGTGTCAAGTTAGTTCATTGTATTCTCCATTTGTTTCTGTTAATAAAATCAATGACACAAAGAGAAACAGCTCCCTAGAAATTGGAAGTAAGAAGGCTGATGTCTTTAACAGACCTGAGTGAACCCTCCGACCTGCTGCTCCCGAATGGACGCAAAGTTCTGCAGCGTGAGGCCATGTTCCCGGAGCGCGTCGACGAGCTCCGCGACACGTATCCCAGCCTGCACCGTGACGGTCTTCTTCTTGGCGTCGACGTCGAGCACCTTGTCCATGAGGGCGAGGTTGACCATCCCGGCGCGGGAGAGCGCGATGCCATTGGGGGACAGGCCGGAGCCGAGGGGCCTGAGCTTGCGGCGCTCCTTGTGTGCGGCGGCGAGCGCGCCCTCGAGGGCCGGGAGCGAGTCCGGCTGGAGCAGGACGCGGGCGTGGACCTCGTGGGTGCCGCTCCAGTTGGAGACGGCGTGGAGGTCCTCCGGCAGCGGCGCGTACCGGAACGGCACGGCCTTCTTGTGCAGCGCGTCGGCGGGGAGCGGGAAGGAGTAGTAGGTCGTGGCGCCGCAGCCGAGGAGAAGCAGCGCGTAGCCCGCGTACTTGCGGAGCTCGGCGTCCGAGGAGACCGGGGAGGGGGCGGAGGAGAGGGCGCGGAGGAGGTGATGGTGGTGGTTGTGGTGGTGGGCGGTGGGGATGCCGCCGCCGCGGCGGCGGAGGAGGAAGCGGGAGAGGAGGAGGTGCCGCATCGTGACGTTCGGTGGCGCGGCGAGGGGGAGCGAAAGGCGGCGTCTCGGTGACGTGGTGGAGGCAGTGGTGGGCGGTGGAGGGTGGACGGCGCCGGCAGCGGCCACCGCAGCAGATCGCGATGGGCGGGGGTGGGATTGGGCTCCTGTGGAAATGATTAGTTGCGATTGATGGGCTCTTGGCCCATGCGACCCCAACGTACGCACGCACGCGGCCCGATTTCGATCAACCAGCCCACGGAGTTAGAGAAAGGAGTGGCCTTGTTTTTCTTTGCATTGTCCCAAGGCTAACCAAGCCATGCTATTGACGTCCGAGTGATATTTGTGCGGCAAGCACCCTTGGCGTCACATTACGAGTATATATGGTTCACCGGACCGACCTTGCCCTTAGAAGAAGTTTAAAGTGTGTGAACCTCTTCCCGCCTTCATCCTAGGGCAAGCTCTCGCACATGCTATATGTGCCGGGCTTTTTTTCCCCCCTACTATGAACATTTCCACTATATGAATTCTCGCTTTAGTTAAGTTTCAAAATCAAATATTTACCATTTTTTACATTTCATTTTTGCTACTATGCAAGCATGAGAAGGAACATTTTCACTATATAAATTCTCACTTTAATTAAGTTTCAAAATCAAATAATTACCATTTTTTACATTTCATCTATGCAACTGTGCAAGCACGATAAGGATTTTCTTTTCCACGGGCCTTCCTTACTCCATCTGTCTCTCACTGTATTTTATGGATGTCATTTCACAACATGAACTCTCAGTTTAATTAAGTTCATAAATCAAATATTTACCATCCTTTTTTATACTTCATTGATGCAAATATGAAGTATGACTTTTCCACTAGCCTTTCTTACTCGGTTACTCCATCTATCGCTCAATGCATTCCTCGGATGCACATTTGACAATATATGAATTCTCGCTTTAGTTAAGTTTAGAAATAAAATACTTTCTGTCCTTTCTTTTATAAAGCTAAACCCCGCTAGAGATTTCTCTCAACATGCAAGCTATCCACGTCAACAATCCACTAGAACTTGCAACCACTAGAGATTTCTCTCAACATACAAGCTATCCACATCAACAATCTACTATAAATTGCAATTATAGCCAACTAACACATGTAATTATGATAGTTATCTCTTCATCCACTAATATGCATTTAGCTGTCCACGTCGATGTATCAAATCATTCACCAAAATTAATTTAAGATAGTTTCATTCATATAACTATAAATATAAATAGTCTAATTTCTTTTTAAATTATCTGGAATCCCCGTAGCAATGCGCGGGATATTCTCCTAGTTCACATAACTATGCATGCACGAGTAGGATTTTTCTTGACCTTTCTGACTCTGTCTATCCCTAAGATGCTTGATTTTATTACTAAATTATTCTTTCAATGATATGTAATTTGTAAACTATGCCCATATAAGCAAAATGCACCTATAAGGTTGCTTCATCAATCTTAAGATCCCTTGGATATGTCATGTTTTCATGCCATCGTATGAGTGTGTGCATATAAGTTTCTTTGTATGTCTTCTGAAAAAAAAAGCTTCTTTGTATGTACTATAGTTTAAGGCAGTGCAGGTTTCACGTTCCTGTTTCCAAGACTTTTAGGTGTTTGAAACACCGTAAACAATTTTTATTCTCATTAAGTTTTTATCATCTCTCTCTTCATTTAAACTACGTCATATCAACTTATTTATGTTCATGAAACTCCCATTGAGATTAGTCTTAGGGCTGGAGAGAGATAAACAAATAAATTATATTTTCTGACACCGTGGCAACTTATACGAATACGCTTATTAACGAGGACTCGCTGCATCCATGAATAAATCAATCCCTAGAGTTGTCTTAAGTCAAACTTTTAAAATTTGACCGAATTTATTGAAAAGAGCATCAAGGTTTATGACACCATATTATCATTAAATACATCATAAACTATATTTTTATGATGGTTTGGTTGTACTTCTTTCTATAAATTCGGTAAATGCAAAAAAAATGACTTAAGACGACTCAAGAAATTGATTTATTTAGGAACGGAACGAGCAGTATATAAGAAACAACAAAAAAACTTAAAGAAAGATTTTGGCCTTAGCAAATGGATATACATAGACCCTGACAAAGAAAAAAAATTCAGAGTTCCTGGCTCCGACACTGCTATCAAATCAGTGACAAACGCCGGTGCAATGCCCTACGTCCTTTGTCACACAGACACGACCTAGGCAAGCTCAAGAATTTTCCACATGGTGTACTATGTGTACTGCCACAAAATAAATCGTCACCATAATTATTCTACATAAGTGCATGCTGGGAGAGTCGAAGATTCCCACAAAAACACTCTGGTAGGTACAGAGGGTAGTCACACAAGAACAAAAGAAGATTGCTCCAGACGAGACTACGATGGTCTTTTGACCTTGAACCAGAGCGGCGATGTATGTGATGTACAATTGCTGCGAACTCCAGTGAAAAAGAGCATGTATCAGATGGAACGAAAATGATGCTTGCTTAGATGGAGACAAGGATCTGGGCAGGTAAGTGCAACAACACGGCATTTGCAATGGCGATGCGCGTGAATGAACTTGCAAACAATGGAGTCGTCGAGCAAGTCAAGACAAAGCGACAAAACGCCACTGCCAGTGAGCTCCCACTCCCCCAGCTCCCAGCTCCATGCTCCGTTCGTTTGATCGTTTACGTGGCTTATAAGCCGACTGATACTATTTTATCGTGAAAGAAAAATACTGTATCATAAGCATGGCCGATTCAGCGAACTTGCTCTGCTTGACCTGACTGTTGCAACCATTTCTGAGAATCTACACCCGCCGGCGACGCGCTCGACGAAAATTTCCGATCCACGCGGTGTTCGTTTCGTCTTTGTAAATCACCACCACTTGCCGGCTGATTGAGCAGACTGTCCCCAAGTGAATCCCCCAAGAGAGAGACAATGGTGGTTGACGTTGACTCCGAGCGCCACCAGCCAGCAGCTCCAGCACCGCCGGCGCCGGCGGGCACTCCGCCCACCACAACCAGAACCAGCAACTCGGCATCGGCGGTCAAGGAGGCCGACTTCCTCTGGGAGCTGCGCAAGTACGTGCTGCTGCAGGCGACGCTGGCGGCCACCATCACCTACTCGGCGGGGATGAGCCCGCCGGGCGGGTTCTGGCCCGACAACGACACCGACGGCGGCGGCCGCCTCGCCGGCGACCCCGTGCTGCAGTGCAGGTCACCTACCCGCGCCGCTACGGGGTTTTCTTCTACTTCAACGCCACGGCCTTCGTGGCCTCCGTCGTCACCGTCAACCTTCTCCTGGTCCACTCGCTGAGCCGCCGCCGCTGGTGGCTCCGCGCGCTGCAGGCCGCCATGATCCTCAACCAGCTCGGCCTCATGGGAGCCTACGCCGCCGGCAGCTGCAGGGAGGTGGCCATGTCCGCGTACATCCTGGCCCTCGTCGGCATGGTCTCCACCTACGTCTGCGCCCACGTCCTGTTCTTCACGCTCTACGCCCTGAGAGCGCGCGGCCCCGGCGGCATGAGCCCCGCGCCGCCCGAAGCGCCAGAGGCCGTGGAGCGAGCGCGCAAGGACCTGCTCATCTTCGCGACGTTGGTGGCGACGGTGACCTACGAGGCCGGGCTGAGCATGCCGGGCGGGTTCCTGTCGTCGGACAGCCTGGACCAAGACCACCTCGCCGGGGACCCCATGCTCCCGCGGCCAACGCTTCATGGCCTTCTTCTACCTCAACACCACGGCGTTCGTCGCTTCTCTGGTCATCATCATGCTGCTCATGAGCAGGACCGTGATGCGCCACGGCTTCCGGTCCTGCGCGCTCTGGGTGTGCACGGGCGCTGCCCTGGTCGGGCTCACCGGCGCCTTCGCCATCGGGAGTAGCCGGAGCGTCAAGACTTCCGTCTACGTCGTCGCGTTGGTGGCGGCGGTTCTGCTCTACATCGGCCTGCAGATTCTGGTGTTCCTGTGCGAGCCTGTGGAGACTTGGTTCGGCAGTGTGCAAGGAACACTGCGGAAATTCCTGAAACTAGACCAATTTCCATCGCAAGGTGATGCTGATGAGCAGGCTCAGGGATTATCTGACCAGCAAGGAAATCTTGACACCGATCAGCTTCTGAAGAAATCTCGTATGTATCTCCTCCTGGTAGGGATTCATGCTGCGAGTGTCACACATGCTTTCCTTTTTCGGCCCGAAATTTCCTGATATTTTCGATATATCATTTTTATCCGTAGGTGCCGATAAGAAAATATCTATCTTTTTTATATAAATTTTATTTAAATTTATTTAAATTTACTTAAGTTCCAATTAATGGTCCGATATTTCCGATATATCCTGTTTATCCTTCTTATCTGTGACCCCCGATAAATTTTAATTTCCGAAAATAAAAACCTTTGTGGGGACTGGACCCGCCTGGAGGCTTCTGGCAGAGCAATGCCACTGATGGTCTGCATCACTACCTCGCCGGCGATCCGATCCTTCACATCACCTATCCCCGGAGATACCTGGCTTTCTTCTACTGCAACGCGACAGTTTTCGTCGCATCGCTGGTTATCCTGATCCTCCTCCTAAGCAGTACATTCAGCACCCAAGGAATCAAGTACTATGCACTGCAGGTCGCCATGATCCTGGACCTTCTTGGGCTGATTGGCGCCTATGCTGCCGGAAGTTGCAGGCAAGTGTCCAAATCCGTGTACATCTCGGTGATTGTAGTTCCTGTGTTCCTCTATGTCGGCATCCATGTTCTGGTGTTCATGCTTGAAGTCTTCCCAAATCATGCCACATGGAGGGAAATGGTGAAGCACAAACTGGAGGAGTCCGTGCCCGAATGGCTCAAGAAGTTGTTTAAGCCACAGACTGAGGAGGAAGATGAGGAAATGAAATGGAAATTGGAGAAGAGCCGCAAGCTTCTGCTGCTCCTTGCCATTCTTGCAGCAGGCCTCACATACCAGGCCGGCATGAGTCCCCCGGGCGGCTTCTGGTAACAGAACAAGACAGGCCATATTGTCGGGAATGTCGGCAACCCAGTGCTCAATGACAACTACCGACGTCGTTACCTGGCTTTCTTTTACTGCAATGCAACTGCCTTCGTTGCATCTCTGGCCATCATCATGCTGCTGATTAACAGAAAGCTTCCGACGAGGGGGATACAGTCCTATGCACTCAGGGTGTGCGTGATCCTTGATCTGGTCGGGCTCATGGGTGCGTTTGCTGCAGGGAGCTCCAGGAAGGTATCAACATCCATATATGTCTTCATCCTGATCTTTGCGGTTCTAATATGCATCACGCTCCAAGTTATTCTGGTTGTGTCCAAGTCGGTTCAGGGTCTCTTGCAGAGACTCCTGTCCTTCTTCGACGTAATGGAGGACGAAGATGGTGACACATTGCCGCACACAGCTGCTGATGCAGAGGCACGAGATCCCTGGTTTGATAAGTTGCCCAAATACTTATTGCTGTTGGCTGCACTTGCAGCGGCTGTCACTTACCAAGCCGCCATGAGCCCGCCCGGTGGGCTCTGGGGCAATGGCCAAGCTGGCCAGATAGCTGGTGATCCGGTTCTTCGGAGCACCTATCCACGCCGGTACAAGGCCTTCTTCTACTGCAACGCAACTTCCTTCATGGCCTCTCTGGTGATTATGGTTTTGCTCCTGATCAAAAGAGTGAGCAGCGCACAGTCGGCGATCTTGGCACTGCATGCTGTTAGCGTCCTAGGATCATCTAGGTGTAGATCTTTGGGTCTAGACACTTCTATTTGGGTTAATACGACCAAATCATGAACTGGAGAGGCCAAGAAAACTTAGAGAGAGAGAGTAGAGGCCCATACCTTCGGGCTTGGCAGAGGAGATAGGGGAGAAAGAAGTCGCCATGGCAGCAGCGACGTAGTGCGGGGCGGTGAAGTCCAAAGGACGGCGGCGCGGCCGGCGGTGCTTCCCATCACTGCAGCGCGCCCGCGATAGGATGGGGCCTTCTAGGGTTCTTCGGTGGGTTAGTGACGGCGGTGAACTTCGTCCCTCGCGCCCCCGGCCCCCACCTTTCTCTTTTATAGCGCTGTGTGATAGGGGGCCACCGACCAGGAGTCGGTAGAGCGTCCCCGATCAGAACGCGGTCAAGGGGTCCGACTCAATCGTTGGATTGAGTCGGATAAGATCAATCCTAACAATCTCTCCCTCGATCTCATCTTATTCTTTAAGCTTAGTCTTAAACTTAGAATAATTAACTTGGCACCCATTTCATTACAGATTGGTGTATAGAGCATGCCTTGTCATAATAGTCAGCACTATTAGACTAACAGGCTACAACACACCTTTCTATTTGAAACAGATCTTTAACTTATTCTAGGCCCTTAGTATCCATGAATCATAGGCTTTCTCGTAAACCCATGTCGACTGTGTGTTATCTGAATACACTGGGTGATAAGCCTTTGGTAAGCGGATCCGTAAGTACTTGCTCTGTACTTATACGCTCAATGCTTTCTAAATGATTCTGGATTTTCTCCTTTACAACATATAACTTAATATCAATGTGTTTGGCAGCACACTTGACATGTTGTCATAGGAGTGAATTACTTTAAATGGTTATTACTGTTGTTTACCATTGTTGATTCCGGGTACAAATTCTCTTAACCACTTTTGCCTATCCCTGAAGCCTCATAACAAGCTATACTATGGGTATACATCATTGATGATACCATAACTATTTCTTTGGAGCTTTTCCACAATAAGATTCCAACCATGAGTGTTAGCAACTACTGTGGATTTTACTACACATCTTGCTAAAATTTAACATTTGTACCCACAACTATTTGAGAGTACTTGTTCTTTCTTACTCAGCATGAGGCCTATAATACTTTGCAAAATTGCAAGACATTCTTAACTCTATTCCAGTGATCTATATCTGGACTGAACATCTGCCAAAATATCTCGGATACGTGAGCTATGTCAAGGTAAGTTCTTACTTGTGCACTCATTAAGCTTCCAACAGCTGAAGCATATGGAACCATGTACATTTGATCGATCTCATATTGGTTCCTGAAACACTGAAAGTTCCTAAATCTATTACCCTTGACTATAGGAGCAGGCGTAGGTTTATTCGCATGCATACTTTATTTCTTTATAATCTTTTCTAAGTATGTCTTTGCGATAGTCCTAATACCGCTTTTCTTCTATCTCGGTGAATTTCAATTCCAAGAACGAATGACGCTCCACCGAGATCATTTATATTGTAACTTGAGTACAAGAACTTCTTCTTCTCCCATAGCAGATTAACATCACTACTAGTGAGTAGGACATCATGTATACACAGGATGCGGAAAATAAATTTCCCATTCTTGAACTTTGCATAAACGTTATTGTCCTTCTTAATCTCTTTAAACTCAAACTTTCTTATTGTTTCATCAACTTTAAATACTACTATCTAAAGGCTTGTTTTAACCCGTAAATGGATTTTTGCACGCGGCATCCCATACGTTCTTTTCCTTCCACGACAAAACCCGTGGGTTGTGCCATGTTAACGTTTTTTCATACAAATCCCTGTTGGGGAATACCGTCTTTACATCCATCCGATATAACTCTAAATCGTAATGTGGCACTAACACCATTATGATTCTAAAAGAATCCTTGCATGAGACTGGAGAAAAGCTCTCATTGTAACATATTCCTTCTCTTTGCGTAAAGCCTTTCGCCACAAGTCGCGCCTTATATCTTTCTCTATTCCCTTTGGAGTCACATTTTGAATCGTAGACCCATTTACAGCCTATTGATTTGGCTTCATTAGGAATTTCTTTTAAGTCCCAAACATCATTGGTACTTATCGATTCTAACTCATCTTCCATAGCCTCTTGCCATTCAAATGAGTGAGCGCTTCTCATGACTTCTTCAAATGAGGTGGGATCACCCTCTATTTGAATTTCTTCACTAACATTGACTTCATAGTCTTCAAAAATAGCTAGTTTTCTAATTCTTTGAGACCTTCTGGGGCCTCAGCTACTGGCACTTCTTTCATATGGGGATGTTGTTGCTCTTCATTGCCGAGAGACAATTGATTCTACATGCTCCTGTATAACAAGATCCTTCTTTACATTATTCATCTTCCTTGAAGAGCTAACAACAGGTGTTGTATAAGTCATACAGCATCAACAGGTATTGAGAAATTTGTTGCTCTTGAATCATTGAAGTGGGCACGCAGTCCCATTTCTCTTCAAGTCTTAGGTCTCTACGTACCATGCTCCCCTAGATTATCCCTTCTTCTATAAAGATGGTGTATTTTCAAATTTCTTATCTGGGTTTAATCTGTTAAAACCTCATATGGCGCTTTAAGCACCG